TATAAGATGTCGAACTTGAAATCTTGTAATTATCAAACTAACTATCCAATCAACTTGACAGAAATTATCCCTTTAACTTTTATGATGGGTAAACCAACCTAAGAAAGCAAAACCTAAATTATAACATTCACACAAAACGATGGAGTAAAATAAGTTATTACAAAATGTCTTCTCACAAATTTCATCTTCTTGAATCCAAAAAGTAGATTATTTAATTAAATCATTAAATTTAATTAGTCAATGGATGTTATGAAATAGAGGCATACGCGAGCTGATACTATATCTCGTTAATTTCCATATCTTGTAGGTAGCCGCCAGAATAGAATAATTGATTTTAAGCTGGTAAGTTGTTAACTGTTAAGTGCTTATTAGCTAGTCGGCCAGTAGTTAGTTATATGATCTCTTATTCATTAAAAAATTAATTCAATATTTAAATTAAGCTCTGGTTAGAAACACCGAAAATGATTGATTTTTTTTTTTACAAAAATATTTTCATTTTCTGGTGGTTGGTTGAAAGTAAAATAAAAAATAAAAAATAACAAAATTATTTGACTGAAAATTAAAAAATTATATTTTTCAGTTTGGTTCTTCTTTATTATTATTATTTAAAAAAAAAAAAAAACATGAATACAAATCTATTACAAAGTTATTTTTATTACGCACTTATTTAGGGTGTATTTGGTTGACAGGTTTAGCTATAAGGAATGTGTATCAAAGTGATTGGTATTGTTCGGTTGATAGATTTTTACAACATTATTATGAGATTCAAATACCCCTTAGTTGAAAAATTCATACCCAAATAAAATAAGGGTATCATCCCCTTTCATTCCCTTATTCCTTCTCATCCCCTTTGATTAGTGCTTTTAGATTTTTGTTTTTATTTTTTTGTTCATATTGATGTTTTGAATGTCTTTATATTAGGATTAATTGTCTTAATTTTGTGTTCTTGTATTTTTTAAGTCTTTATTCACATTATAGGATCATAAATAATCAAACAACATTATTGATAATCATTCCCATTCCACCCTACTACCAAACATGCAAAATACTTTCACTAAAATCTATTACTATTACCAAATATTTGATACTCATTCTAATTCCGATTCCCATGTGCGAACCAAATACACCCTTAGTATTATTTTTAATGATTGAATATGTTAATTACTATAAGTGTCTTGGCAACTAGGTGTCTCTTGTTTCGAGGTGTACCCCCTCCATATTCTGATATTTAAAAAAAATTGTGTCTTCACAAATTAATTCGTGCTTAATTTGATTCATTTTACTGCTTTAAGGTCTAGCATTTACGGTTTAGATTTAAAATTTACCTTTTTTGTTAATTGATTTTATAAAATTTACCAGATATGCATATTTAGTTGTTAAAGATTGTGTATTTAAGTGTTCAAGTTTGCATATTGAATTTGGTCATAATTACAAAATTATCACTACATTTAAAAAAATAAAATTAATAATAATCTGATCAGATCCATCGAATTTTTACAGATATAAAACTGAGATTGGTTCTTATTTCTTCATTATGGTATATGTATATATATAAAGCACACCTAATTAATATGATGATTAAGAAAAAACATAGCAGACGACCTAGCTTAGCTTGATGAGTCGGGAATTGAACCAGTCTGGGTGGTGTTGTTGCAGTATGCAATACACACCTGACGACTAATTCATACACAATTTATGTATAAATACCCACCCTTTCATTGCCTCTTCTCTCATCCATTATTATCTTCTATTGCTCTTTAATTTGCTAATAACATTATATTATATTATGGCTCTTCGCTTCCTTATCCTTGCTTTTGCCATTTTGGCTATGGCTGCTTCATTTGCCCATGCATCTGATCCCAGCCCATTGCAGGACTTCTGTGTTGCAATCAATGATTCCAAGGCTGCTGGTAATTATATCATTTCCCAATTTTCACTTGGACATTTCATTTTCTAGGTTGTGTGTGTTTGAATTGTCACTATATATAATGTTCTCTTTTTTATTTGGCAGTGTTTGTCAACGGAAAGATTTGCAAGAACCCAATGGAAGTCGATGCTAATGACTTCCTCTTCCAGGGCCTTAACAAGCCTGGGAACGTGTCAAATCCGCTTGGATCAGCGGTTTCTGCAGTGAATGTGATTAACCTAGCTGGACTGAATACTCTTGGTATTTCACTAGCTCGTATTGATTTTGCACCCTACGGTCTCAACCCTCCTCACACCCACCCTAGAGCAACTGAAGTCCTCACTGTCCTCGAGGGCACCCTTTACGTTGGATTCGTTCTTTCCAATCCTCCACCAGGAATGAAAAACAAGCTCTTTACTAAGACATTATATCCCGGAGATGTTTTCGTGTTCCCAGAAGGCCTCATTCATTTCCAATTAAACATCGGACATTCAAACGCCATTGCTTTTGCAGGTTTGAGTAGCCAAAACCCAGGAGTCATTACCATTGCCAATGCAGTATTCGGTTCTGATCCCCCAATTGATCCTAAGGTTCTAACTAAAGCCTTTCAAGTTGAGGACAAAGTGATTGAATATCTCCAAGCACAATTCTGGTATAACAACAATAACTAGACAATAGAAGCTGATATGAGATGATACTATGTATCCTACGTTTCAATTCCATGGCTCCAGGAATAAAAATCTCATGTACTACTTTATGTCCTGAGTGTAATAAAGTAATGGCTGAAATGTGGATTTGGCCCTTATGTTTATATCATTATTAACTTTGTCTTATTTTCCCGTTTTGTCAATTTTATTTATATGAAAAAATTAAGAAAATAAAACCTAATTAAGACATCCACAAAAAATAATCATGTAAGAATTAAAAGATTTTTTTACAAAATGTCCTCTCAAATTGTACTTAAACATTTGACAAAAGTCCTGAGATGGAGTTGCATAAATTTCTCACATATTTCATCTTCATCTTAATTATTTAGATTAGGATTAGGAAATAAGCAGAGCATCATTCTTTTTTCATTTTTTGGTGACACGGGAAACACATGTAACTACTATCTGATGGTCAGCACGGGGTAAATCTCACTTTTGCGTAATAGTCGGCAATTAAATCACACTAGAAAAGTAACTGCACTAATTAGAAAGATCTTGTGTGACAAACTTAAACTAAAAGACGTTGAAAAAAAAATTAAAAATAAGGATTATGCTTCCTGCCTTCTAGTCCAAAGGCCTGCATTGCGCGAATGAATAAACTAGTCTTCTCGTCCACAAATAAATTTCAATAGAATTTGTATGCTTCTCATTTTAACCAATAATGGAATTTTCCTTTATATGGTTCAGAACTAGTCTCATTATATATGTGTCATATAAATACTAGTATAGTATGTTAACTAGCTGATTAATCCAAAATAAATTGATAGTTTTGCTTGTGCTAACTGTTGCTGGATGTAATATTTGATTCCTACCAAATATTAAAAAATGCAAGGTATAAAATGACTTTGTTGTCGACACTAATGTATAAATATTTAAGGACATATAGATCAGTTGACACATATCCTGCAATTTACTTCATCAATTTGATGTTAACCTTTTTTCTTCTTCCCCCCTTTTTTTTCTTTTTTTTTTTTTTTCTTTTTGAAACACGTTAACCTTTTATCTAATAGTAGGTGTATAAGTTTTATATACTCAACACTAAACGCCAGTTTAAACATTTTCAAATATTTAAAAATAAAAATAAAACGAACATGTTTGATCCAGCGTCCTCATCCATTTTGACAAAATCTTAGAAGATCGATGGTCTTACATAGATGCTGGATAGTGGATATGATTTACTAATTAAACAAAGATAAAATACTTTGACTTTGTTGCTTGGAACCTTCCATATGATCATTTCGTTTCAAGGCAGTAGTTAGCATTACCATATTTATAATCTTGATCGTTAAATTTGTAACTGCTCTTTTTTTCTTTTTTTCTTTTTTTTTTAACATAGGTGATACCACTTCGCCGGATTAATCCTAGGATTCCTAGGTTCACAGGACCTCATCCCTAAAATCACTATGGAGGTAAATATACATGTTTTAATTGGTTTCGAACCCTACATTGGGACCTCCCATCATGACTTTCAATTAAGCTAGCGACAAATCAACTACGCTAAGTTTCAGAGATTTAAATTTTTAATTGAAATAAAGCATACATTTTAATTTGGTATCAAAGACTTAAAGTCAACCCTATTCAAGAGACATGATGGACGTGTTCGTTCTATTACATGTACTCCCAAATCCTACTCTCAAATTTACTCCCTTATGTGACGGGCGCTGATAGGTTATTTTCTTCATGTGGTCCTTGTACAGGTGTCCACATCAAAATTTTAAGTGTGGGAGTAGAGACTGAATATATATAGAATTTTCCTAATATAAACTTGGCTAAATTGCTACAATATAATATTGTAATCCTTGAAATTCGGCAGCAGAGTTCAATTTCCATCTTGTCAAAGACAGTAGTTAAAATTGTGTAAGCTTATCAGATCGAATATTTATATTTTTCAAGATCATAAATCAATCTGTAATCCTAAGCCAAAGTCTTGTTGGTTCAAATATTTTACCATATATAATTAACTAAAAAAAGTTTAAAATTTTTCCACCAATAAAATTAACCATAATTAAGCACAAGTTTCACCACTCCTAAAATTCTTGTGTCTTTCTTGTTTAATTTTTCTAAATTAAACTATATATTTGAGTGTTCAAATATATTCGTTATAAACTGTTACATTCGTTGAAACGAATGTTTAACGCTTCTTGCATGCTTGGGAAGAAACATATTAATTTTAAGAGAACTATAGATTATTTACTTTACCTTCGATTGAACCATTCAAATGTGTCGATCTTGTAGTTGTTGAAGACTGGTTAATTTATTAATTTTTTTAAGGAAAAAAAAAAAGACAAGAAACACAGCAAATTCATAGAAACAGTCCAGTTTTTATGGTTTATGCAGCACAGTTGAAGACTAATTCATAGAAATTTATGTATAAATACCCAATCATCCATAGCTTCTTCTCTCATCAATTACTCAAACTAACACTAGCAATATCTTCTTCAATTCTCTGCTAAACATCATGGCTCATCGGTTCCTTATCCTTTCTTTTGCCATTTTGGCTATGGCTTCTTATGTTGCCAATGCATCTGATCCCAGCCCTTTGCAGGATTTCTGTGTTGCAATCAATGATTCCAAGGCTGCTGGTAAATTATATTAAATGTTCCACACATCTTTAATTAATATCCCTAATTACAATTTCATTTATATATGTTGTGTTACATATATATGTAGTTGTATGTACAATAATGTAATTCTTTTTTCCTTTTTTTTGTTTGATAGTGTTTGTTAATGGAAAGATTTGCAAGAACCCAATGGAAGTCAATGCTGATGATTTCCTCTTCCAAGGCCTTAACAAGCCCGGAAACCTATCAAACCCGCTTGGATCTGCCGTGACGGCTGTGAACGTGAATAACTTAGCAGGACTAAACACTCTTGGCATTTCACTAGCTCGTATTGATTTTGCACCCTATGGCCTCAACCCTCCCCACACCCACCCTAGAGCAACTGAAGTCCTCACTCTCTTGGAAGGAACCCTCTATGTTGGGTTCGTTCTTTCTAATCCACCTCCTGGAATGAAGAACAAGCTCTTTACAAAGACATTATATGCTGGAGATGTTTTCGTGTTCCCACAAGGTCTAATTCATTTCCAATTCAACATCGGACATTCGAACGCCATTGCTTTTGCAGGTTTGAGTAGCCAGAATCCAGGAGTCATTACCATTGCCAATGCAGTATTTGGTTCTGATCCACCAATCAACCCAGATGTTCTAACTAAAGCATTCCAAGTTGACAATAAAGTAATTGAGTATCTCCAATCACAATTCTGGTACAACAATAATAACAACTAGACTACCCAAACTGATATGAGATCAGTTAATACTATGTAGCATTTCCATAATTCCATACTTTACTGCTTTAATTTATATTACTCGGATGTATTGTGGTGGAATAAAGTAATAAATTTCTCTTTGTTAAGTATGTTGTTGGTCCTCCGCTCCTTGCATATCTATTCATTATTTTTGTCTATTTCTTTCCTTTTTCCAGACTTTTTTTTTATTCCTTTACCATTTTTTCCTAACTAAATAACAATTATTGTGCATAAACACTTAAAACATTTATTTTCAAGAATAAAAATTAAAATGCCATTGGCGCGGAAATCCATTATAAACTCCAAATTATTTATGAATTATCATCTGACAAAATTGAGTATAAAAAATATTGTTCATATATTTTATATATATATATATATATATATATATATATATATATATATATATATATATATATATATATATATATATGTGTGTGTGTGTGTGTGTGTGTGTGTGTGTGTGTGTGTGTGTGTGTGTGTGTGTGTGTGTGTGTGTGTATTGATTCCATTGTTTGGACAATCACTGCTGGAAATTATGGAATTTCCGACCACCTGAAAGTGATCTTAAATAAGTCGAAAGCAAAAAGTGGTCGGAAATAGAAACAAAAGTTTTTCCGGATACCAAAAGTGGTCGGAACAAGACTTTTGACTTGATTTAAGATCACTTTCAGGTGGTCGGAAATTCCATAATTTCCAGTAGTGAATGGAAATGAAAGTATTGGTAATAATTAGTATAAAGATTAAAATATATCTATGTTGAGCGAAGGTTTGGAGGGTCGAGTTTAACATCCTATCATTAAAATGTGACATTGACTGCCGCGCAAATATAAGAAAATAAAGTTGCATATTCGTTATTAACTATAGTTTTTGTATAGTGATAAACATTTGATCTTGACAATTGGTATTAGATCAGGTTATGGTACGAAAATAAAAGGAAATAAAGTTGGTTTTTCGTTACTAGTTAAACCTTTTGGCATAGTGGTAAGCATTTAATATTGTCTAACATGCCTAACCTGTCTTTCCAAAATGTGTGAAATTTAAACTACTTAAATTCAAACCTCTTATTCAAAAATAAATAAATAAATAATCACATCCAGAAGGGAAGCATGGGAGACTTGAGACCCATCATATTATGCAATCTTCTATATAAAATTTGTTCAAAGGTGCTTGCTAATAGGATGAATTGCTAGAAAAGCTGGGTTCGAAAGCCCATATCAGAGTGCATTTGTGCCACTGTGCCAGGGAAGTTGATAAATAACAATATATATTATGATCGCCTATGAAATTCAACGCTACTTAAAGAGAAAAACACAATGAAAAGTGAGATTTACAATTCTTAAATTGGATATGAGTCGTTCTTACAATAGAGTGGGAATGGAACTTATTGCTGGCGATCCTGGAAAGAGGGGGATGAAATATTGTCAACTAAACCAAAAGAGGGAGACAAATATTATTGATGCGTAGTATATTTGCAAACAAATAATTCTCGGAGTACGAGTTATCGATCCACAGGGAAGTGATTGTATCAAGCACTAGTTACTAACTTATTCATTAGAGCTAATCCTAACAATTACTTAGATGATTGATTGGCATAAAATAAATAAAATAAAACAGAGGTTCAGGATTTTGAAAACAATTAGAGAGAAGTTGAGATTCATGAGATTCAAGTATTTAATCACCTAGTGCCAATTATCGTTTGCAATATTTAGTTTGGAATTAAGATTTGTGTGGGAATGCAAAGTGGAATCGAATTACTCCCGTAATCTCTATTCCTAGTGAATTTCCACTCCCATGGCTTAAACACCCAATAAGATCAAAGATCAGCATTCAATTATTCCTAATTACTACCATCTCCCGATTGGCAACAATCTAGAATAAACTTCCCCTAATAAGTTCCTCTTTCCCAAGGACCAACCATTAGGTGCAATCGTGTGTGCCCTAATTTATGCCCCAACTCCCATTGGTGACACAAACATGGCTATGAAGCTAGTAACTATGGCCATTAATTACAAGCATCAAACAATATTATCACGATTGCAACACAAGTATTAAACCCAAATAATAATATATTAAAGAAACTGAGAGCTCAGGCACATAGGTTCATAAACACTTTTACCCAAGAATCTCTAAAGAATTTAGCCAAGCATGACTAAATTATACATAGCAAATATAAATAAAGAATTACAAATCATCAAAAGAGTACAAGAATTAACCAGACGATTTTCCCAAATCTCCCTAGTCTTCTTCTTGCTTTCCAAGACAACTTGTGGCTCTTGATTTCTCTCCTTCTTGTCTCTAAGAATCTCTGAAAATCTCTCTGTCTCGATCTCTCTTCGTCTGTTTAGGGTTGAGGAAGGAGGGATTTTATAGTAGGTACAAAGTTGAGATGAAATAGGAATCTTGTACCAAATTGGACTCAAATTCCAATTCCTATATTTAAATAAAGAAATTGTCGTCTTTAATGATATTTAGAATTTAGAAGATTTCTTGAATTGCTAACTTTTAATATGGAGATATGAGCCTTGAAGTCCGCGCAATTGATATTAGGAAAAGAAATCTCGCGCTTGTATTGAATTTTGCCCAGCTGCGCCACTTTAGGCGTCTGTTTTTATCCCAGAAATAGACGCCTATTCTCTCGACGCGTCGAGAATTTTCTCCACGCGTCGAGATTTCCTGTGCGCGAATTAGTTAGCTACTGGAAAATTTCGACGCGTCGAGTCCACTGGGCCCCGAACTCATCCAAAATTGCTCCAAACTCATCCTTGAACTTCCCTTGCTCATAGAATTGACCTACAATGGTTCAAAAACACTAACAAACACCGTAAAACATTCAAAACAAGTACGAACCATAATTAAATGATAATAGCAAGGAAAACCTGTATTAAATAAGCAACATTAAAGAACTTAATTACTATGATGATTCAAAATAACCATAAAAACAAGCACAGATGTGATAACATCACCCCCTCACACTTAAGCTTTTGCTTGTCCTCAAGCAAAACTAAGGAATAAAATCACAAGTCAACACATACAAATTACTCATGCTCTCTCTTGCACAACCTTTCAAACCACCAACCAACTTGCTACAAAACAACAAGCTTCAAGAATCAAATTAGTTTGGCACATAAGAGACCCATTTCCAAGCCAAAAACCGAGCGCCAAGAATTTAAAGTGTGTGAGGATCAATTGTGTACAAGTACTCAGTTGAGATTATGCAAGACACGGCTCAAGAATGAGATCCCATAGGCTTGCCCTTCATACTCCCCTAGATCAAATCTAAGAATGCATGCTAAGATCAAATAGGACTTTATTAAGCTTGTAATGGGGCTACGGGTGACGGCTAACAAAGAAGTGGTATGGAAAATTAATCAAAAAGAGAGAATGTCACAATTTATCTAAACTTTTCAAAATTTGGAAGAGATGAGATAATTATAATTTCAAGGAGCAAATTTCTTTTGAGAACTTAGCAACGCTTTGGTAAAGTGGGGATCCAAACTCAAAAACTTTCAATCTTTTTTTTTTTTTGTCTCATTCTTTTCTTTGTCTTTGGACTTCTTTTGGATACAGCAAGATAATTTTAATCCAAACTTTCATGACCTCCACACTTGAACATTTGTAACACTAGCTGCTTCTTTTTTTGTAGCACAACTCCATAAAAACTCTTCTTACAGAAAAGATAAAGATAAAAGTTTCATTCTCTCAAGGGTGGATGGGAAATATTTGGCCAAGGGCTAAGGGTTATAATAATGGGGTAAATCAAAGAAAAACAATCACAAAGAGGGGATAAGTGCTTAGCACTTATTTAAACAAACAAAAGGCACAATGGGGATACGAAGGATAAAAATATATATAGGGACAGGTTTAAAGGCTATGGCTAAACAAAAATGGCCTAAATCACTTCAAAACATGCAAAACTTAGACATCACTTAGGGAGTAATGAGGCAAGTTCTAGCAAAACACCCATGACCGGAATCTCACATAAGCCTTCACTATCAATGCAAAACACAAGATCAAGAATTAATCCAATTATTAAGTGGTTAACAAAGCTATTGGCAAGGGAATAGATCAAATATGTGTTACACCTCAAATCATCCATTACAAATTGAGATGCAGCAAGCACCACTAAAACAAACCACAAACCAACAAGAGAGAATAATTGTAACTGCATGCTAAGACAAGTAGCTTATTCACCAAAAATAGCATATGAGTCATCCAAGCAAAAGCAAAAATTTTAAAAATTTAGAAATATCCCCAAATTAATGATTCCTCCCCCTCACACTTAAAACTTTGCATCATCCCTGATGCAAAATAAAAGAAAAGGAGAACAAGAGAAAAGAGAAAACTAAAAAGCAATAAAATAATCACGAACTAGAAAATAATAAAACTAAATAAGACGAAACTAGAAAGCAATAAATAAATAGGGAAAGTAATAAAAGATAACATGGGGTGCCTCCCATGAAGCGCTAAATTTAACGTCGTTAGCTCGACGTTACCTCTCTAGCCATCAAGTGATTGGAGAAGAAAAATCCCCTTCTTTCCATCAACTTTCTCTTCCAAGTATTTCTTCAAGTGGTGTCCATTTATAAACTCTCTTAAGCTCGAACCCTTCACGTCATCATGTAAGGAACCACATTTGCCCGAATCAAGAATTATGCCTCCATTCTCTTTTTCTTCTTTTTCAACACTCTTTTGTTCAACAAGTAATGAGAGTCTCGGATCATTCACATGAACCAGCAAGTATTGGGAATCATTGGATATATAGATAGGCAAATGTGTGCCATTATCCTTAAGAACTCCAATGCCTCCCAAATTCAAAATTTCTCTGAAGTTCTCTCCAAGGGAAGTGTTCTCCATTGGTGAGACATCCTCATTCAAATCATGTGCTCTATTGAGAACTTCCTCATCTAATGGGCAACTCTCTATATGTTCATTGCCATCATTACTTTGCAACTCTACATTTTCCTCCCAGCTTGGTGTCTCCATCTCAATGCATTTATCAAATATTTCTTCATCTCCCTCCCTAAGATCCTCATCATCCTTTTTATTTCTCTCAACTTCATGACCTTCATTTGGCAAGAGCAACTCTTCTAGAACCTCTCCATTAAAT